TTTAGTTATTTTAATCCTCGGGATCCTGTGCTCGACTCTATAGGAGTCGATCTTGTCTTCGCACGGTCCCAGTGACTCGTTCGCAGAAGGCGGTGGGCGGGAAGGGGGTGGCGGGGATACCGGCTTTGGGGATGTTCTGAATGCGGAGCCTCGGAAAATATCTACGGGGTCGCAGTGCAAACCGTGGATACGGCTGCTACGACAGACTCTGCTGTACGAGACAAAGATCTCGGCCCCCCGCCGATAGCCCTACACAGAGACTGCTGGAGCAGGTGTTGTTATTATAGCGAGCGGCGTCTATTAAGGGCAGCAAATTAATGGGGTGGCCCCTTTATCAGCACCGCGCCTGACCGTCTTTGTCTCACCCCCCCCCCCCCATGCTAATTGTTTACACACTACCGTACTCATTTGAGGCCAAAACCACCTAACCCTACGGGGGGAGGCCCAGGGCCAGTTCGAGACGTCGCTCGCCCTACGGATGTCGGTGCCGTGGCTGGGAGCGCCATGGTGGCTAGGAGATGTTAACTACCTCGCCTGGTGTGCAGGAGGTCGTGGGTTCGATCCCGACCCTGACGCCTGCTGCTGCTGTATATTTGGAGTTTGCGTGTCTCTCTCTCTCATCATCACCACGGTGGCTAGGAGATGTTAACTCCTTCGCCTGGTATACAGGAGGTCGTGGGTCCGATCCCGACCCTAACGCCTGCAGCTGCTGTATATTTTGGAGTGTTCCACGTCTCTCTCCCCGTGGTCGCGTGGATTTTTCTCCGGGTCCTCCCGGTTTTACCCTCCGCCTTTAGAATCGACGTCACCACGCGTTCAGAGGAGTTTGGCTGCCGCGATACATTTCCACACGACGATGGATGACGATGACGAGCCACTTCGTTGAGCCGTCAATTTGTGTGATCGCCAGGTAGCTACTGGAAACGTAAGAGCTCTAGAGCAGCTCAGTAGTAGGCCTTACCGGGTAGAAACATTTTTAAAAAAAATAGTTTAGTTTAGAAGTGGCGGTCGGGCGAACTGGCAGTGGAGTGCGCTCGCGACTACACCACCGCTCCCCCTGTTACGTGCAGGTGTCTGGAATACAGGTCACTTGCCGTTCTTACGACGTGCCCTGGGAAGGAGCATGGAGGGGGGGGGGGGCCGTGGGAGTGTGGTGGTGGTGGTGTGGGGGGGGGTGCTACCCAACCCAACTCGCGGAGCACGTGGATTCATTTTTGCTTCAGGGGAGCATCGCCACCACGTGGGCTGTGGGAGGAATTGTCTCGGCTCTCTCGATTAGCCGTCTCTCTCGGTCTCTCTCGCGACGACTTTTTCCCCTCCACCCGTACGTTGACATCGTCCGAGATCTGCCGGCCCACGACATGTTGGGGGGGGGGGCTGGGGTGTGGGAGGACTTCACGAGAGGGTTTCGTGTCGTTTTGTTGTTCTTGTTGTTTCTCCATCAAGCGAGCAGCAGCAGCAGCAGCGAGACACCGGTGGCTTTTAGGACGTGGGCCCCATTCTCGTACGGCCCGGCGGTCTGCGACCGCAGTGGCCGAGCGAGATGTTTACACGATTGTTGTGGGTCGGTTGTGATTTTAAAACAACAACAGCAGCAGCAACAAACAAATAAAGAAAGAAAGTAGAGCAGTAGCAGCAACCCGGCCTGTCTCCTTGACCTGCCGGCGGGAAGCCTCCGATCCGATCCGACGCTTTGCAACGTCGCCTCGGGGAAATTCTCCAGCCACGGCTTCGCCACCGGTGGTGGTGGTGGTGGTTGGTGGTGATGTTTGGTGATGGTGGTTGGTGGTGGTGGTGGTGCTTGGTGGTGGTGGTGGTGATGGTTGGTGGTGGTGGTGGAGGTTGGTGGTGGTGGTGGTGGTTGGTGGTGGTGGTGATGGTTGGTGGTGGTGGTGATGGTTGGTGGTGGTGGTTGGTGGTGGTGGTGGTGCTTGGTGGTGGTGGTAATGGTTGGTGGTGGTGGTGGAGGTTGGTGGTGGTGGTGATGGTTGGTGGTGGTGGTGGTGATGGTTGGTGGTGGTGGTGATGGTTGGTGGTGGTGATGGTTGGTGGTGGTGGTGGTGGAGGTTGGTGGTGGTAGTGGTTGGTGGTGGTGATGGTTGGTGGTGGTGGTGATGGTTGGTGGTGATGGTTGGTGGTGGTGATGGTTGGTGGTGGTGGTGGTGATGGTTGGTGGTGGTGATGGTTGGTGGTGGTGATGGTTGGTGGTGGTGGTGGTGGTTGGTGGTGGTGGTGGTGGTGGCGCTTGGCGACCTTGGGTCTGTAAGTTCCATCGGTGAGTCCCCCGAGTAATTGCGGTGACCGTGGTAGTGGTGGTGGTGATTAGTGGCCGTTTTGATGGCGGTGACCGATTGTACGATTGTTGAACATCTTTCACACTGTACGTAGTCAGACGTGCTAATTTTGGTGGGTGTTCAAGGCTACCAAACGTCGCACTTTGAGACAGGACAGGAATCCCGATTTGAGACAGGAGAAGAATCCCGGTGTGAGACAAGACAGGAATCCCGGTGTGAGACAGGAGAAGAATCCCGGTTTGAGACAGGAGAAGAATCCCGGTTTGAGACAGGAGAAGAATCCCGGTGTGAGACAGGACAGGAATCCCGATGTGAGACAGGACAGGAATCCCGGTGTGAGACAGGACAGGAATTCCGGTGTGAGACAGGACAGGAATCCCGGTGTGAGACAGGACAGGAATCGCGGTTTGAGACAGGAGAAGAATCCCGGTTTGAGACAGGACAGGAATCCCACTTTTGGACAGCGCTCCTCTGGCGCCCCGTCAGCTCCTGTCTGAACGTCACATCGCCATTTGTGGGATGAATCCCCGGCGAGGTGGAAGCACCGAGGTCGGGCCCGGACCGGGGGATTGCCCTCTCTGGCATCCTGGCAGGATGGATGGGAAGCGTCGGGCAGGAGTGGGGATTGCCGTGAGCTGCAGGATGGCGCGTGGTCCATTTCGTAGCAGTGGATGAGCGCGAATTTTTTTTTTTACTTTGAGTACTATTCTACAATTATCGATGAATGAAGGTTTTTGCCGCGTTCCCAAGTATGATTTTATTAGTATTATTATTTACGACGTCTTGAGGCCCGAATGTTTTTTTTTCTCCGTAGGAACGCATCTACAATTATTCAATGGAAACAGATGGGGGGAAATAGGGTTCGATATACGGAATTCCGTTGTTGCAGATATCTTTTCGGGAACGTATCTGTTCGGCATATCCAGGGATGCCCGTGTCGGTAAAACGGCTGGAACAGGACAAGTTACGCAGCTGATACGGGGACCTCCTGGTGGTACGATCGACACTTCATTAATTGCATTGTAATGAGGAAGCAACATTTGACACATTACAACTCTTCTGAAGGCAATGGCATTCAGGGCTGTAGATATTGGTGCAGACGATGGCACGGTAAGTGCGTCATCGTGGTATGAGATCGGTACTCCGTGTCGTTGTGGTAGGTGATCGATACTCCGTGTCGTTGTGGTATGAGATCGATACTACGTGTAGTTGTGGTAGGTGATCGATACTACGTGTAGTTGTGGTAGGTGATCGATACTACGTGTAGTTGTGGTAGGTGATCGATACTACGTGTAGTTGTGGTAGGTGATCGATACTAAGTGTAGTTGTGGTAGGTGATCGATACTACGCGTAGTTGTGGTAGGTGATCGATACTAAGTGTAGTTGTGGTAGGTAATCGATACTACGCGTAGTTGTGGTAGGTGATCGATACTACGCGTAGTTGTGGTAGGTGATCGATACTACGTGTAGTTGTGGTAGGTGATCGATACTAAGTGTAGTTGTGGTAGGTAATCGATACTACACGTAGTTGTGGTAGGTGATCGATACTACGCGTAGTTGTGGTAGGTGATCGATACTACGTGTAGTTGTGGTAGGTGATCGATACTACGCGTAGTTGTGGTAGGTGATCGATACTACGTGTAGTTGTGGTAGGTGATCGATACTACGCGTAGTTGTGGTATGAGATCAGTGCACGTGTAGTTGTGGTAGGTGATCGATACTACGTGTAGTTGTGGTAGGTGATCGATACTAAGTGTAGTTGTGGTAGGTGATCGATACTACGTGTAGTTGTGGTAGGTGATCGATACTACGTGTAGTTGTGGTAGGTGATCGATACGCACGTCGTCAATCACTCAATCGTTGCGCCGTTGCTACCGCTGATATTTTTGTTGTTGTTGTTGTCGTCGTTATGGCTGAGCGCCTTTTTTATGCCCGCCTTAGTTCCCTCATATCAATATGTTAATTTGTTCTGTGCTGGCTGTTAATATTACACTATCTGCTGTCTGCAGGTCAAGACAATAAAAAGCTCGGAAGAACGGACGTGCGGACAGCGTCGTCCTTCCCGCCGCCTCCTCTTCCTCCTCCTCCTCTTTGTCGTCTTCATCGCTTCGCCAGCCAGCGTGCTCCCGTTGAATGAACAAAATTAAAATTAGCTCTCCTAAAAATATTTAATACATTTCGCGAACATTTTTTTTTACGTCCTTGCGCAATATTCATTTCTGTCCGTCGCAACCGGTTCCGTTTTCTTTTTTTTATTTGCTCACGTTTCATCGAACGGCGGTTAATGCCACGCGGACGTTCGAATCGGCGACGCTTCGATTTCGTTTTTTGCACTTAGGAAAATAAGTTGACACGGACGTCGGAACGTTTAACCATCTGACGTCTCATTCGCCCTGCGCTACGGTTAATATATCCAATTCATTAATAATCACGGGCTGGTGCTTTATTCGTTCATCGAATCATCATCATCATCGGAAACACTACGGCCACAGTGATTAATTTATAATCATTACTGCACTCGCCACCAGATCACTACAACCGCCGCAGCTCATTCATCCAATCTCAATCATTCCCGCCGCCGGCAGCAGCAGCAGCAGCAGCAACCCCCGGCAGCAGCGGCGGCTCACAGCCGTCGAGCCGACCCGCCCTGCCCGCCACCACCGCAGCCGTCGGCCGACGCTGGCCGCGGCGGTTGCGGTTGCGGCCGCGGCGGCGGCGGCGGCGGCGGCCGCCGGCGCCCGCACGCCAGGCCGCTGCGCCATGCCGGACCGCGTGCACCACATCAGCCTGCACAACTTCAGCAGCGCCGTGCTCGGCGAGCTGAGCGAGCAGCGCCGCCGGGGCCACTTCTGCGACGTGTCGGTGAGCGTGCAGGGCAGCCGCGCCAGACTGCGCGCCCACCGCTGCGTTCTCGCCGCCAGCAGCCCCTTCTTCAAGGTGAGCCGCGCGGCTGACAGTTCGACCGCCGCTCGCGGTTCAACGTCGCCGGTGAACGCTTCTTGAGCCGAGACTGAGCCTTCCGCTGAGTCGACTCGGCCTCAAATGAGTTACTTTTTTGTGCCGCGTGAAAATGACGCCAGAACTGGGAAGACAAAGGCGGCCTGGGCGGGGTTGTTGGTCACATCACACACCCTCGTGTGCCGTGTTGGCCTTCATAGGTGCTACTCCCTAACAGCACTTGCCCCCAACTGACTGTTAAGGCTACCGGGGGGACCTTTACCTTCTGCTGGAATGCCGTGAGTCTTGGTTTGTTGTTTTGTGCTCTCTGTCCCTGTTGCCTTTTAAATCGATGTCAGAACGTTTTTTTTGCACATTGGAGTGGACGATGAGGATTGTCGGGCATCGTCGTCCTTCGTGCGTCTTGAATGAAGGCCGTCACGTTTCCTTGTTGCCCACGCCGCTCACAATGGGGGGCAGGTTGCAGGGTGACTACAGCACAGCGAGGTGACACAGTAGGGAGCACAGGTGGTGCATCAGTCAGACATCTCAGTCAGTCAACCCGGAGCACCTGGGTCTGTTCCGTGCCCTCGTGCCCGCGAGCCTTCGATCCTTCCATGTGGCCTCAGAGTGCATCCAGCCTGGCGCAAGTGGTGGCAAATGGCGACATCCCCACCGCTTAGTGGTGACTCTTATTGCCGTCTTTGATTCATTCTTTGCAATGACCTGTCTGTGTGTCTGAGTTAAAGAGTGCCTGTTGCTCTATCCGTCCAAGATTGTCGTTCGAGTGTTTTGAATGAAGGCCGTTTGCGTTTCCTTGTAGCGTGTCCACAGTAACGCCCCCCCCGCCCCCATCCCCGTCCCTGTGCCTGTCCGTCTCGTGCCCCTGTCGCGTTCACTCACAACAACCTCCTGCGGTCACGTTCATTGGTTTTTTTGTGTCTCTCTACGCACCGTTCGCGAGCAATTGTCTTCGATTAACCACATCCCCCCCCCGCCACCGCCACCCACCTGTTGTGCACCTCGTGTGACACGCTTCTTTTCCTGTCTCTTTGTCTCAGAGTTCACAATTGGCCGTAGGATCGTGCGTCTGCGTTGCGTGTGTGTGTGTGCGGGGAGCGGTGGTGCAGCGGTCGGAGCGCCGTGCGATTAAAACCCAGGGACCCGAGTTCGATTCCGGCTCGAGGCCGTAAAAACCGGTGACGATTTGCTGAACCGGTCCTGAGCCTCCCCCAGGTCGACTCGGCCTCGAATGAGGACCCGGTGCGATGTGTGAACATCGCTAGCACTGGGGAGACAAAGGCAGTCCCGGGCGTGGTGCTGGCCACCCACCCCCTCGTGTGCCGTGCCGGCCATCACAGGTGCCGATCGCTAACAGCACTCGCCCCCAAACGTCTGTGAAGGCTACAAGGGGGTGGGGATTTTTTACTTTGTGACCTGACGGTATATTGTCCCCCCCCCCCCCCCGTGTCATCTGGACCCCCTGGTCCAGATTGGTTCGCAGCGTTCCCTCGCTCTGTGCGGCAGCAGCGTATGCGTCCGAAGAGAAACTTTACCTGAAAATGTATTTCATTAACTCCCCGTCGCCCACCCCCTCCCGCACGCCCCCGCAGGACAAGCTGCTGCTGGGCTACAGCCAGGTGGAGATCCCGGCGGTGGTGACCCCGCGCTCCGTGCAGCGCCTCGTCGACTTCATGTACAGCGGCGTGCTGCGCTTCCCGCACGGCGAGGCGCTGCAGATCCTCACGGCCGCCAGCATCCTGCAGATCAAATCCGTCATCGACGAGTGCACGCGCATCATCGCCAGCAGCGTCGCCGCGCGAGTCACCTCGTCCGACCGCCGCGGCGGTGGCGACGACGCCGCGGCCGCCGTCACCGCGGCCGCCGCGGCCGCCGCCGCCGCGGCGGCCTCCTTCGCCGGCGACCGGTGCTCGACGGAGCCGGCCGGAGGCGACGGGGAGGCCGGTCGAGGTGCGCCGCGTAACGGTAACGACGACAGCGACGAGGAGGAGGAGGAGGAGGACGACGACGACGACGAAGACAACGAGGCGGCGGCGGCGGCGGCGTCGACGGTGCTGGTTCTCGAGTCGGCGCAGGACGGCCCGGGTTTCGTGACGGCGACCAAGGGTCACCAGCAGCACCACATCCGGCAGCAGCAGCAGCAGCAGCAGAAGATCAGCCTCGGCGCCATATCCGATGGGCGCCAGCTGTGCCTCAGGGCCGCGGACGTGCCAGACGGCGAGCCGGCGCAAGCGCTGGCGCACGGCGGGCACCCGCGCAACCGGCCGAGCGGAGGCGGCGGGGGCCCCTACGCGGCGTTCGCGGCCACGGCGGCGGCGCTGCGGAACGCCGGCGTGGTGCCGCGCAACAGCTGCGAGATCGGCATGGAGGCGCCGGCGGTGGAGGAGGAGGGCGGCGCCCGCGGCGAGCGCGGGGAGCCGGACTCGGCGCAGGGGACGCCGGACTCGCCGGGCTCCCCCGCGCAGAGCGCCAGCGACGGGGAGACGACCGCCGCCGCCGGCGCCGGCGGCGGCGGCGCTGGCGCCGCCTACTACACCACCGCCTGCTACGGGCAGCCGAGCAACGCCGGCACCGCCAACCAGCGGCGCTACTACATCATACAGTCAGGACGCGCGTGGCCGGAGACCGGCGCCGGCGTGGGCGACGACGGCGCCTGCTCCATGGAGGGGCTCTGCGGTGCCGGCGACGAGGAGGAGGAGGAGGAGGGGGGGGGGAGGCGGCCGTCCGACGGCGCCCGGAGGCGGCGCTCGCCGTCGTCGTCGCCGCGGCGCAAGCACGAGTCGCACTGCCGCAAGCAGCCGCGGCCGGTGCGCATCCCCTCGGTCGTCATCAAGCAGGAGGCGGTGGACGAGGAGGAGGAGGCGGGCGAAGGCGCCGCCGGCAGCGCCGGCGGCTACTACTACGACGGCACCGGGAGGGGCGGCGGGCGCGGCTACGGCTTTGGGTACGCGCGGCGCTACCTTCCCCCGGGATACGAGGCGCCGGAGAACGGGCACCGCTGCGACGACGCGCCGGCTACGATGATGATGACGGACGACGAGGAGATGGCGCGGCTGCCCCGCGGCGACGGCGGCGGCGACGACGACGACGAGATGTGCGCCACCGGGGCTGAGCACGACGAGGAGATGGAGGGGGAGGACGGCGCGCGGGACGCTGGCAACCACCGGGCGTTCGACGGCTCCGCCAGGGAGGAGTGCGAGGACGAGGACGAGGACGACGAGGACGACGAGGAGGACGACGGAAGAGGGGGTGGGAACGGCTACGAAGAGGACGACGACGACGCGCCGGCAGAAGACGGCGCGCTCAGGGCCGAGGAGACGTTCGAGGGCTGGCCGCTCGCGCCGCGCGGCACCTCCGACGGAGGGACGTGCGCCAACGTCGCCGGGCGCAGGGCGCCGGGCGCCGTGTCTCTCGAGCGCCGGCTGTGCCTGCTGGCGGCCGAGAACCGCCTGGCGCTGTCCAGGACCGAGCCGGGCGGCCCGGGCGGCAGCGGCGGCGCCGACGGCGGGGAGGCGTTCGCCGCCCCCGCCGCCGTCGCCGGCGGGGGCCGCGGCGCGTCGGCGCCGGCGACGCCGACGGCGGCGGCGCCGGCCGCTCCCCCCGCGCTGGAGTTTGCGCCGGCGATGCAGGGCCGCGCGCAGTGCGTGGCCTCGCAGCTCTACGTGGTGAAGCGGGAGGGGGGCGACGGCGGCGCCGGCTGCCGCGCGGCCGGCCTCGGGGTGCCGCTGGCGCTGGGCGGCGGCGGCGGCGGCGGCGGCGGCGGCGGGGGCGTTGCCACGGCGACGCCCGCTTGCCCACCCGGCACCACGCCGGTGGGGTACTTCCCCGCCCTCTTCGCGTCGCACTCTTCGGCGGCGGGCTCCGGCGCCAAACTTTACCAGTTCTCCGTTGCTCAGCCGGCGCTGTCTGGGCACCACCACCATCAGGTGCAGCAGCAGCAGCAGCAACAACAACAACAACAGTTGGATTCCCATCAAACCTTGCAGCAGCAGCAGCAGCAGCAGCTGGGACGTACGTCACTGACTGTGGACCAGCCGTTCACGTCCTTCCTAAGTCTGGGGGCTCCGGGGGCACTGGCTACGTACAGCAGCCACCACATAGCAGGCGGCGCCGCAGGCACAAGCTCCCACAACCAGGGGCTCGGCCAGATTCTTCAACAGCACCAGCAGGGTGGCTTGCAGCAGCAGCAGCAGCAGCAGCAACAGCAGCAGCAACAGCACGGGCCACACCAGCTGCAGAGGTTGCTGCTTCCGTTCTCGGTGCAGCAGGTGGGAGCCGCGGCAGGCGCTGCGGGCGGCGGCGGCGGCGGCGGCACGGGTGGCATTGTGGGTAACGCGGCACGGTCGAACCTGCAGGGCTTGCCGCTGGTGGTGCGCCTCGGGGAGAAGAAGCCGTACGAGTGCACGCTGTGCAACAAGACGTTCACCGCCAAGCAGAACTACGTCAAGCACATGTTTGTGCACACAGGTGAGGATCAGCAAACCGCGGAGGGAGCGACGCTCATGGCGACGAGCGGAGCGAGTTGGCACAGTAGGGGGGGTGGGCGGGCGGGCAGGTGGTACGTCGGCCCGGTCATCTCGGTCGGTCGACCCCGTGGCACCTGGGGGGGTCTGCCCCGTGACCTTCTGCCGGCGGGCGTTCGACACTTCACGTGGCCTCCTACGTGCACATGGCCTGGCACAATGGCCGTTGTTTTGTTGTTATTGGGGCGGCTGGGACACCGTCGCCAAAGATCCCCCCTGGCTGTTGGGGCAAGTGCTGTCAGTGAGCAGCACCTATGAAGGCCAGAACGGCACACAAAGGGGTGGGTGGCCAGCATCACCCCCGACCGCCTTTGTCTCCCCAGTGGCGATGTTTTTACGCACCAGGTACTCGTTTGAGGCTTAGTCAACCTAGGGGAAACTCGTGCCGGCTTCAAATATTCACAGCTGGTGTTGGCCACGAGCGGGAATCGGGTCCATAGCATGGCGTCGCCACCAACCTCTACACTAACGTTTCCTACCAACACACACACACACGCACACACACACACGCACACACACACACGCCAACACTTAACCCCCCCCCCCCGTTCACCTCTCCCTCCCCCTCCCTCCCTCACCCCTCCTCCCTCCCTCCAGGCGAGAAGCCCCACCAGTGCGGCATCTGCTGGCGCTCGTTCTCGCTCAAGGACTACCTGATCAAGCACATGGTGACGCACACGGGCGTACGCGCGTACCAGTGCGTCGTCTGCAACAAGCGCTTCACGCAGAAGAGTTCCCTCAACGTGCACATGCGGCTGCACCGCGGCGAGCGTGCCTTCGAGTGCGCCGTCTGCCGCAAGAAGTTCTCGCACAAGACGCTGCTCGAGCGCCACTCCACGCTCCACTCGGCGACGGCGGTCCCGCCACCGCCGCCGTCTCTGCCCGCCGCCGCGGTCGGCGTCGTCACCGGAGCCGCCGCCGCCGCTCCTTCGGCGCCGCCGTCGCCCGCGCCTTCGTCGCTGATGTCGTCGGCGGCGCTGGCGGCGGCGTTGGGGCTCCCGCCGGTGATGGGCGCCGGTGTGGCGGGGGGTCACCGCGACGCGGCGGCGGCGGCGGCAGCGGCGGCGTCTGCCGGAGCAGCTTTGGCCGCGCCGGCTTCGTCCGTCGTGGAAATATCGCCGAACGGCAACAGCGGAGTTGTGGGTAACAGCGGCAATGGAATTGTGGGCAACGGCAACAGCAGTAACATCGTCATTAATTTGCTCAGCAGCAGCAGCAGCAGCAACAGCAACAACGTTGGAAGCGGTCATTACGTGGCCTCCGGCAACGGCGTAGGCAGTATTCTCACGGTGCCGGGAGTGGCAATTTTGCCGCCGCCGCCGCCGACGTTGTCAACGTCGTCATCGTCGTCATCGTCGTCCTCTTCGTCGCTCAGCGAGGAGCCGCGTGACGTTCAGGCGCCCGCCACGTCGGCGTCGTCATCGTCGTCCGCGCCACCGACGTTGCCCCCGCTGCCCGCGCCGTCCGGCGGGGCGTGCCCGCCTCCCGTCCCGTGCGGCGACGAGCGGTGCGACGTCGGAGCGCCGCCGCCGCCGCCGCCACCGCAAATTCCACCGCCGCAAACGCCGCAACTGCCAGCTTCACCGTGCCTCCCACCGCCCGGCGCGGACTGCCGCCCTTCTCCCCCTACGGCGGTGGCGGCACCGCCACCGCCGCCCCCCGTGGCACCGCCGACGCTCCTGGTATGCTCCGTGTGCCCCGCCAAGTTTCATTCGCTCGAGATGTTCAACGAGCACGTGCGCATGCACGTCACGAGCGGCTAGGCCGGTGGATCTGCACTTCCTCCTCCTCCTCCTCAGACAGGGAGAGGGTAGGAGAGGAGCGAGCGAGCGAGCGAGGGAGAGAGGGATGGATGGAGAGGATGAGCGATACGTCTTGAGGACCCATCGCAACAGATCTGCAGACGCTCTCCAAAGCGACGCTGGGTGGGAGCGAGAGTGACTGGAGTCATTCTGTCGTCACAGTGGAGTTTTTTTTTTATTTTCGTGGGGGGATTCGGTTTTCCCTATTTATTTCAAAAAAAAAAAATTGTTCCCATTTTTATTTCCTTTTTTTTTTGCGAGATTGAAAGAAATAATCCCGCAGGGTTTTTTTATTTTGTTCTCAAAATCGGTCAGAAATGTGGATGGGGGGGGGGGTGGGGTCGGTGCCTTTCTCTCATTTCATTCACGGGGAGCGAGCGAACGAGCGAGGTGGAGTGTGAGCGAGCGAACGAGCGGGGTGGAGAGCAAACGTACGAGCGAGCAAACGAGTGCCTTGTGGGTCATCTCACTTTGCTGCGACGCGACAAGGAACTCGAAGCCTCCGCCCCGGTCACGCCTCACAAGGCCGGCCGTCGCTCCGCAACACCGGCGATTGTTCCCGCTCGCGGGCCGGGAGCGGTAGCGGCGAGAATTCCACGCCGGGTCCCCCCCCCCACACTCTCTCTCTCTTTGACGCTTCTGATGAACGCACGCGCCAGCGGTTAACATAATTATAACAGTTAATCCTAATTTAACAAACGCTATCGATTCCGACAACGGCATTGGGCTCATTTTTCCCCATCACGTCGTGGAAACTATCTCTCGAATCGCATCACGACTTTTTTTTTGTTTTGGCTTGGGAGTGGCTCCAGGGGAAGATCCCGCACGAGGGATTTGCTCTTTTGGTTTGCCTGGATGATGACGCTGCCTCGTTTTATTCCGGTGTAGTCGGCTACAAAAAATGCCTGCTTGGGGAATTAAAATAAAAAACTTAAACAAATACGATATCGCAACTAAAAAAGCTAGTTTTTATTTCACCAGGTAAGGCCCACTGAGCTGTAAGAGCTCTTTTTCAGAAGCAACCTGGTTATCACGAATGATTGCTCAACAAAGTGGCTTATCACTTGGAAATTTACGTGCCGGCCAAACGCTCTAAAATGCGTGATTTTGATTCCAGCTGTGGAGGGGAAAACCGGAGGACCCGGAGAAAAATCCACGCGACCACGGGGAGAGAGAGTGACAGTGCAAACTCCCAAAATATACAGCAGCAGCAGCAGCAGGCGTCAGGGTCGGGATCGAACCCACGACCTCCTGCACACGAGGCCGAGGGGGTTAACGTCTCCTCGCCACCGCGGCGCGATATGGCAGAGCGGGGCGTGCCCGGGATGGTCGTACGCGGGCACGTTGCCGGTTGCTTGCGATGGCGGCAGGGGCGGCAGCAGATCCTCATGCGATCAAAAAAAGATGAAGCGGCGACGTTTTTCGAGCCCGCCGGCCGTAGCAATGTTAACGGGGTACGTGGACGAACGTGGCGTTACTTTCGTCCGTTCGGTTTTTCTTCAGTGTTAACACGTCATTCCCCCCCCCCCCCCCGCCGCTTTTACTTGAGGTGCCGCACAGCGGTGCCTGCCCGTAAAGCGGAAACGAACGAAACGTTTTACGAAAGCAGAGAAAAAAGAAATAACACTTAAGATTTAATTTAAAAAAACGCTACGGTTACCAGCTTAACGTCTGCTAAGTGTGGGTGTTCAGTGACCGCGCAGAGTATATATTTTCAGAGCGTTAGTTTAGAGGTGCTCATTGGATTTTAGCTGGCTAGTCTTGTGCCTGAATAGCATTTTCTATAAGGCGGCGGTGGTGGTATGAGCCACACAAGGCAAAGTCCTATGGGTCCCGGTGGCTTTTGCAAGTGTTTCCCGTCAGTGGCTCTTGACCGGGTGACTTTCGTGAAGTTACCCCACCCCCCCCCCCCTTTAAAGCAAAGCAAAACTTAGTTGAGAGAGAAGAAGTAGTCCTTGAAAAGACTCAATACACTATATTTTTCTTTTGGAATATTTCATTTTTATGCTGCCTAGTAGTAAGGTGCCTGTTAAAATACCGCGTATTAAGCCCAGTCTGGTGGCTACATCTGTGCCTGTTTGAATACGAAGCGTACATACTAACACAGTTGCATTGTGGATACTCGCGTGTTTTCCCCACAGTGTGCTACAGAAGCGGGCGAGCAGTGTTTTTCGGGATATACAAACTCTCTCTTTGACGGTTTTACGGATTTTTCTTATGTCGATTTTTTTGTCGTGAGCTAACATCGCTGCCTGCAGTATACAGATAACTATCGTATTAAAACGGATATTAATGTTTCATCATATGTTACTCATAATAACTACGCCTATAACATTAAGCGGTTTATCTTTTTTTTTCCCTCACTTTGACTTCTCGGTTTTAAATCCACTGCCTTTGTGCGAATTGGCAGATGTTTTGCAGACAAAAAAACAACTGAAAACCCGTCAAAAAACATAACTTTCAGTCGGCGGCATCGGCTCTCGTGACTTGTACGCTAAAACTGTACGGCATCCGACACTTTAACCACCGCGGCCGCCGGGGTTTTGGTGACAATTGGGAGAGCAGAGGTGGCGTGGGGGGGCAGCTCTCGGAAGTATTTGGGGGGAAGCGCGTGGCAATAAACTAACGGACTCGGGTGCGAACTAGGTCACCGACCTTGGGAGGGTCCCGGGACTTGGTGGGGGGGTTGGGTTTGGGCGACGCGGGTTGCTATCGAGAGAGAGACGGCGCTAGTGCTGCCGCGTCGGGGGGGGGGGGGGGGCGGAAGCCGAAGGGGGGCATCTGGGTTACACTCGTCAGCTAGCAGTGGGAGAGGGAAGGGAGCTCAGTCGGTAGCCCCGGTGGAGTGAGATCGATGTTAATGTGGTCGGCTTGGAGCGTTCTTTCAGCCGTTAGACTTGGCGGGCCGCTTTTCGGCTGTCACTTGACGTGTTCCTTATTGAACTGAGTTGGGGAAGTCTGTCGTCTAGAAACCCAATTGGAGACCAGCCTGTCGGTCTATTGTCTAAAGACCCAATCAGAGACCTGTCTGTTTGTCTGTTGTCTAGAGACCCAATCAGGGACTGGCCTCTCAGTCTATTGTCTAAGACCTCAAGCAACATCGTACTCTACAAGAAGTTGAAACTATTTTGTAGTTTTAAAACACTTTCTTTAAAGATCATCGGGTTCAATGTATTGAATTTTGAGTTCATTTTTGTTTATTGAAAGGTCAGTGTATAACTCTGATAGGAATCCTGACTCTCTAAAAAACCTAGTTGTTCCCCCGTATCCGTGCTGTGTTCAGCTTGGGGTACAGAGGTCTGTGAACAGCAGAAGAAGGGACGAGCAAATACAAATCTAAAAGCCCCTCATTTGGCAATAGGAATGGGGCGTGGGCGACGCCGCTAGGCAAAGAGAACACAAGCAAATCACATGCCAGGCCCGGCCCTAGCCCCAGCCACACGAGCCATAAGCACCCGAACTCTCTACCACTGACCCTTGCATTAGGTCAGGGGTCGGCAGCCTGCGGCTCCAGAACGAAGTGCGGCTCTTTAATTATGACGGCTTCGTGACGTTACTCACGTGCCTTTGGGCTCTTCAAATATTGGGTTGGTTTTTTTTTGCCGAATTTGAGAGAAAAAATGGCTATCCTTATTTTGGTCGCCAACCACGCCACACTAGATCAACCGGACCTTAACCCAATCCGTAATTACAACCACACAACTGTTAACAGGATGAAATAAAAAAAATAGACATTTCACAGAAATAAATAATGAAAAATAACAATACATCATAAACTAGTTGAGGGGTTTTTTTTTGTGTGCCGTTAACTTTTACAACCGTGGATTCGTCCGTCATTGTTACACGTTTCCACAAAAGTCACGTGCATGGCATCAATGCAGCCATGTTGGATCGAGCGTTGCCATGACAGCCACGTGACCCCCCTTATCCAGCCAATCGGAGAGTATGCTGCTCGTACAACAGCAACGTATTTAAAAATAGTTATCGAAACCAAGTCGTTCCGTGTTGCAAAGACATGGGCAACTTTACACAGCAAGGGCCGAGTTACGCCATCACAACAAGAGCTTAAATATCTCGGTTTTTTTTCCCCCCCCGGGGATCGCTGCTCAGTAAAAATGCAACGTCTCCAAAGTTGGCACTTGGTTGGAACCGTTGTATCAACGTTGGCCCAATGTTAGCCCAACATTCCGTGTTGTTTTTTACTGAGCGGTGGTAGACTGGAAGTGGTGAGCGTGTGCAACTCTACCCGTGGCCACGGTTTGTAACGAGAGGTGGCCTACTGGATGGTTGCGTGCCCGGGTGTGGAAATACGTTCTGGGTTAATGGCCCAAATGAATCCACCCCCTCCCCCCCAATGGCAATTGGGTCCTCTGCGATGATGTTGCAAGTAGCGCGCGCACCCCCCTCCTACCGTGGTCGTAGCTTCACATCGACTCTCATTTGAGCTCAACATCCTATCGCCCTACGCGGAGCCGGGACATTTTTTTGTTCGCTTCCCCCCCCCCCCCCCGTCTTTGTGTTCACAGTGTCACGACTCGCGTTTCCCATCCGCACTGGTCGACGACAGGGGGGACAGGCCCAGTGTTCCTAGATATGCAGCGTGATCCATTTATAGATACTCCACTAAAACAGCATAATGACGACTTGACAACACTTCACTTGAGATGGCACTTTATTGAAGACGCGTCCACTTGACATCAGGCGGAGACCCACACCGTGACAGCCCCGAGTCTCCCGCGCATCTCCCTTATATACCAACACGAGGCCACGCCCCCCTTCTGGATCATTCTCGCTGACTCTGGACGCTCGGTCCACCGGCAGACTCCACGGTCCTCTTCCGTTGCCTGACCACGCTCCCGTCTCGATCATTCCAGTAGCCACCGGTCCCTTCGCACTCACAGCTGACTCCCCTGTAATTACCTCCCGTGGCCACTGGTGCATTCGCACTGTCGGCTGACTCTCCTGTCATTATCTGCCGTGGCCACTAGTCCACTCACAGTGCATGGAGACTCTACTATCACTACGACAGTAAGACATTATGGGGTGAACAACATTTTACACAATATCTCCCACCAAACTCAAGAATACGTTCATTACATCTTTAACCCGCACCTCTCCTCCGTAAGACGTCACTCTTGGCCATCACTCTCACGGCGCCCGATCACCCGTTGAGAAGGAAGTTCAGAGGGTCATTGGAAAGGAGCGGGGTGTCTGTAAATGGATCACCCTTCAATCAATATTACATCTTTGTTTCGCTTGCCTTTTTCACGAAGGGACAAATTTGTGACTTTGAGAATATATATGCACAAACACAAACTTTACTCTAACTCGACCAATATCACCGTTAATAAAGAGTCCAACGCGCGCGCACACACGCAGCACACACGCGCGTGCGTGCTCCTAATAATCGCGCTCAGAAGCAACGCAGCGTTTGCTGAGTGGTCCCCGGTGCTAAAACACAACGGTGCTTTAAACGGAGAGTAGCTGGGTGGATGGGCGGTGGGGGGAGAGAGCGGCCGGGGTGACGGAGCGCGCGAGAGAGAGAGAGATCGATTGAGGAGGAGGTGGGGGGGGGGTAGCGTCGTCGTTACTTTCGCCATCTTTTCGATTAGTTATCGATGCCCGACTTACAACGGCGGTCGCTGAACGAGGAAAAGCAACGACGCACAACGATGGACCATAACAAAGTTTATTCGCGGAGAATTTGGGTCGGCGTGGGAACGGGGGGGGGGGGGGCGGTGCGGGTTTACGCGTCTCGATAGAGGAGCGCCGTGGAACAATTTTCGAACGTGAAGAGTCACTCGCGGGAGAAGGGAGAGAAGAGAGAGAGAGACGGGAGAGAGAGGGGGGTCCTGCTCGTATTGTACAAATGTGAACACGAAACGCAGAGTTTTTGGTGAGGTATTCCGCGATGGTCGGAGTCCAAAGCGCGGCTGTCGAAACCAGTTCCTGTGTCTCATCGGCACACGTGGCCAACCCCTTGAAAAAGAAGTCACAGACAGATGTCAAACATGGAATCGGAAGTCCCTCACTCTGTATCGATGCACTTTTTTTGAACCCGTTTTATTCTTTTTAGGGACTAAGCAACTTTGCACGGATTTAGGAAAAGAATCGTGAACTGAATTTCCTTTGGCACTAAGAGCGAGGAGTAATGCTGGTTATTGTTGTGAAAATAATAGGATCAAGTAAAAAGGATATTGATGGGAGCTTCCAGTAGCTGTGATTGAGCTGTAACCCAGGCGCGAGGTTTATGATTGTAGCACTATTTTAAAACAAATTCTTTTTCTAATATTAAAAAAAGCAATTTACGGTGATAAAGTGCGTGCAATGCGTGTAAGTGTGTGTTCGGAGGTTTTAGTGGCAGATGCGCGTGTCGCCGAGACATCCGTGGATACATCAAGATTCGTCGGGAAATGGCACAGCACTAAACGGCCAATTAGCACGCAAATCAAAACGGTTCCTGGTGTTACTTTCCAAGTGTTTATTTTGTACTAGCCAACACGGTTGATGGAACACAAAGCATTGTATTTGAAGTCCACGCGACGTCGACCCGAGGGCACCTGCGCACAGAACCTGGGGGGGGGGGGGGGGGGTGGGTGGGTGGGGGGGGGGCCCAGTGGCCTTTGTTGGCGAGTGTCAATGAGCGGGTCGTCAGCGGATTTGCATCGATGGATCGGAGCGCACGGCACTTGCTGTGGCCACTCGAGCCGCGGTGCGAGCGCGCCGCGTGCCCGCGTTGGGGCGTTCGCTGCGTCGCGATGCGCGGCACGCGGGTTGCGCCCGTTGGCACGCGTTCGATGTGCCTGCTTTGTGTGGCTTGATGCGTGTGGTGATGTTCATATTTCAACGGGCGCGCGTCTTCAAATGCCGAGTCCCAACATCGCGCTCGCGGTCAGTATCAGTGGCGAATATC